CTGCTGGGGTTGTGTCGCGTAGAGACATGAGTCTCAACAGAAGGCTATGGGCATGGTTCCTAGGTCCGGAACCCGTTCCAGGAGCCGATCCAGCTGACCCAACAGCATCCCCCACGCAAGACCAGAAAATTGCCGGATTGGACACGTCATCACACTATGCAGCATATTTCTCGCAACATGGTCTTCGAGCATTGACGCGCTGTATCATGAAAATGATCAACCGTCCCAGCACGCTCCCTTCTGAACGTGCTAAACCCTTTCGGCTATGTTTGTCGCTCATGGATCGCTGGGAAGTTGGCGGATTGATCGTCCCAGAAGTCTTTCTTCCAGCTTTGCAAAGTGTCCAAACATACAGTGAAACCGCAGCTTCAAAGGAAGAATTAGACGAGGTGATGAGGAGCGCTAGTGTTTTCTTCGACGGGGTTGAGAGCGGCCTCATTTGGGGGAAATTGCTGCACTTGGTGACTTCCTCGTTGAACAGTAAATTTGAAGATCAGTTGGAAGGATTACGGAGAGTGAAGCTCGCTAGGTTCGTCCTTGCACGCTTTAACTTGAAGGAGGAAGAAATGCTTCTTCACCACATGCCTCTGATGATAGTGGCCACCCTCGCCACCATCAACCAAATCACTGAGGGACCATCCACCATACGAGTGTTCGAGAAGAATACTGCAGACCTCGCCTTCGAAATTACGGATTCCCTCGTTCAATTTGTGCCAGACCGGGCATTGTGGGACGAACACGACTTGGGCAAGGAAATGAGCTGCACTATCAGTACGCCACGAGAGGTGGTACTGCAGAAGATACAATCGTTCTATGGCGATTCGCACGGAAACCTCGACTTCTCTGAGCCCCCTTTCGCTGCAGCAGAAGTTGGTCAACTCGTCCTGCGGGAAGCCTCTCACATGTTCTCCGCGTCTATTCAGCCGGCCCAGCGTATCAGCACTTCTGAAATGTCTTCAAAGATTCTTTCGACCGTCATATTCAAAGTCCATCGATTTGAAGCCCTAAAAGATGCGAATCTGTCTGAGTCCTTCCAGAGGGTGCTTTCCTTGAGCCGTTCGGGTTCCCCCAACTCGATACCATTTATCGACCTTGTCGCCATAAGTTCAGTCCTGTCGGCGCTCCAGACTGGAAGCCCATCCGCCCCATATATTGACCCACCCCAACTCTCAGAGATAATGCATCCTCTGGTCGCAGCTTTCTGGCACCATCTTGATCCTTTCATTCCAAAATCCCATGTGGAAGCAGTACGGTCGATACTACAGTTGCACGCCATATCTTTCTCGAATCGCACAGTAGAGGCTGCCATTTCCTCCATACTCGTTCGTGAAATATCGTCGTCTGACCAATTCACTTCAACCGGCTCCTCGGACGCTGGGCGGAGATTCGCAGTTCTTTGGACACACATTATGCACGAGCAAAGTTTTCAGACAGAGAAACGAGGCATTCCAGTCTCGCAGCGTTCCAGTGCGCTCGGCATACTGCCATTGACGGTCAGCAGCGGGTTCCAAACTGTACTCACTCGGCCCCTGCTTATCTTGCTGGATTCGCTTGCAGAAGAAAGGACAGAATTATCCTCCTTCGTCAGAACCTGGCTTCAAGATCTTCCAACTCTGAACAAAGTCTTCGAGGTTCTCGTTGCGCATCTTCAATCCCTACGATGCTTGTCGAGTGACGAAGGGCTGACACCAGACAAGATACCGCAGTCTCGACGCTCTACACAGTCATGGACCGATACGAAAGACTGCCTTTACTATCTGAAACACTTTTTGCATATATTGGAACGGCCATCTCCTTACACTTGGTCCGTTCTAGCGGAAGAGTTGACCTCTCAAACGAACGAGGCAGCTGAGGTGAAGGCTACCTTGCAAGTGTGGATCGTTCGCACATGCCTAAAGTCTCTATCAATTCCAGGAAACAAAACTGACCCAGATGGAACACCCCATATTCAGAGCCTATTCCAGACTTCAGCCAGCATCATCAATCAGGTCTATCAAGGCCCCTTTGCTTCTTCACTCAAGGAATTGGAACTGGAAGTCCCCTTGATGGCCCGGCTGCAGACGGCGGACCCCACTCTGCAATCTCTCCTTCTCGATGCGATCCTTTCGGCGCTCCGTCTACGAATCCAGCCAGCCGAGCCGCATCCGACTGACCAGCATGCAACAAACAACGGTACGACTCGATCGCGATTGTCATTGGTCATGGATAGGTCATCCGTGGAAATCGAGCATCCGCCAGTTCCACCTCCCCCCCAATTGATTGACTGCCTGAAATTCGGCTTCTCATCTCCTTCCAGTCGACTTATCCTGGACAACTGGGTTCATTTTCTCGCAGAGGTCCTTCCACTTTTCGCCGATGCTATCTTCCAAAGTTTACTTCCCCTCGTAGAGTGTCTTTGCAAGCAAATAAACCAGACTTTCGAGCAGCTCACAACAATATTCAGTGGACCAGGCCCCAGTCGAGAAGCTTCGCCAGAGCCTACGCTCATATCTCTCATAAATGGTCTCGAGCGCATCTTAGCCAAGGCACACGACCGCTTGACGATCCAAGAAACGAAGAGTATAGCAAATAAATCCCCGGAACAGCCACAAGGCTTCTTTGGCAACATGGTTTCAGGCGTGTTCTCCTCAGAAGCAACCCAGGCGCGTGCTCCAACAGCAAACAGCAGGCTTACGGTGCTCTTATGCTTCCAAGATACTGTTCGCATCTGTTTTTCGGTATGGGCTTGGGGTGGATACGGCGCAAAGGAGATACGCCAGGACCTATCTTCGACTGCTTCGTTCGGATACACATCGCTTCGCATGCGCAATCGTGCTCGGCGTATGCTGGAATCACTCTTCGCTGCGGAGGCCCTTGAATGCCTGGAGACTCTGGCCGTTTTATGGGCGCATTCAACGAGAGAAGACACCCAGGCTATAGCAGTCATGGGTTTACTGAACGTTTTGAATGGCTCGAAGCCGAAACACACCATCCCAGCCATTTTCAATGCCATCTACAGCCGCACCAACCCAAACGCATTGGACCCAAATCGAATGTCAACCTTGACATCGGATTTAGCTGACACAGATTTGGTCGCTTTCCTAGTAAATTACACAAAGTCACTGGAGGACGACGCAATGGACGAGATATGGGGCGACTGTACCATATTCCTGCGCGATGTTCTGGCAAATCCTCTTCCACACCGGCAAATTTTACCAACACTCCTGGAATTCACAGCGGTCATCGGGCAAAAGGTCGATAATACGAATTTTGGGGAACAGCGGAAGATGAGGAAGGAGCTGGCAGTATGTATTGGTTGCTTGAGTCTTTTTCCCTATATGGCTAACTCTCGGTATAGGACATATTTACAAGGCTCTTGACAGCGGTCTTTACTACTCGGTCAATGGGTTTCTTGCAGGAACCTGCCCTGCTAGCAGCTGTCGAAAAAACATCTGGGTCGACGAAAGGTGGCCAGGGACAGAAGCGTGTGGTTGATGTGGTCTCTATCCTCACTTCAATCGTTCCCCACCTATCCACAATTCTGATTGAGAATGACCGCGTCACCAGCGTTGTGACCAACATTTCTACGAGTGTGATTGGTCCTACCTTCCGCGCAAAGGCCTTTCCAGAGAATGTTTCAAAACCGATCCTCGACTTGCTATATCAAATCACTCGTACAGCCCAGGCAAACAAATTCTGGAAAAAGGAGATATACGACGCGTTCAATGACCCTCGGTTCTTTAGCACCCCTCTACCGCTTTTGAAGACTTGCTGGCTGCCCATTCTCGCACAATGGACTCATTCCGACAAAGATCGCCTCCCCGAGTTACTATCTCGTCTCTCGCCTCCAACAACTGCTGGCATAATGTTTGGCGTGGGAGCGGCTTCAGCACGACAAGAAGCAGATCGCAAGGCCCAACTGACTTTACGCCGGATCGCACTGTTGGTCCTCGCGGCGCCTGAGGATTCCTTCACACCTAACCTTCCACAAGTCCTGGAGAAGATTGTCGAGCTACTCACTGCCACGCCAGCTTCATCTCCGTCGTCCACCACCCGTCCCGATCTGCTTATCCTACTCCGCTCCCTGATCTTGAAGACCTCTGCTGTGCATCTGGCGCCGGTATGGCCCATCTTAAATGGCGAACTCACCTCGGCAATATCCTCATTGCTTCCCGATGCCGGAAACAAAGAATCTTACAACAATTCCAGCATTATTCAAGCCTGCAAGCTACTGGATCAGCTCGTAGTTCTTAGTCCGGATGACTTCCAGCTTATCGAGTGGCTCTTCATCACTGACACCATCGACGCAGTCTACAAGCCTGTCGAATGGTATCCGAGATCACTGACCGATGAGGTTTCTGAAATTTTGTCTGCGAGTGAAACGCCAACATCGCGACAAAGGACGACCTTGCCTATGGCGGCGCACCCTTATTCAAGTACAGGGACGAGTGAGGATTCGAAAAGGGTACTTTTCTTAGACCCCTTGATTGAGGCACTGGAGAAGGAGGAGGATGCTGAGGTCACGGATATGGCGAGGCGAGAGTTAGTTGACAGAGTTGTGCGACCTTTCTTAGGGCAATTAGCTATGGTGAGCTTCGAGAGTACATACGGAGGAGGGAAGCCTGACTGGGAGGGTTGCTGGAACAGTTGCGTCAGGGACGCCAGTGGGGCTGAGCAGGCTTGATGTGGTTTTCAAAAGATTGATTTTAGCTTTAAAGGTTTCCCTAACAATAGGACCCTCCTCGCTACTCGCCGTTGTTGACACGTCGAATGCCTTCAAGACTGTTGAGACATCGAGAACGTAGGGACCTCAGCGAGCGTCTAAATGTGTCCTAATTTCGTTTCTAACTCACAAGTGAAATAAGATTATTCTAGCAGTTCTAGCCTTCTATACTTTCTAAGAAAGCCAGGTGTTGATCCTACAAAAAAGAAATATGGGATGAAAGAACATACAGATGCCAAGTCTAGTAGAAGCACGTGAATGCAGCGGGTGCAGACGCAAAAAAAATTCAAAAAGATATTGACACGAGTGAGGTTTGAACTCACGCATCTTTCGATAGCAGAGTTCCAGATGAACTTAAATCTGCCGCCTTAGACCACTCGGCCATCGTGTCTTGAGAAATATTATAAGACCAGTCAATAACAAATTGCAATATATAGTTCTAGTTTGTAATCTAGAGTTCGAGCTTCTCTAACGAACTTGAATCAAATAAAGGCAAGCGTCATATGACATTTCCTGCCACTTGTGCGGGGTAGCCGAGCGTCGGCTTTGTGCCCGCCCGCTAACTGCATCAAGGTTCTGCATTCTTTTGGCGAATGACACCCGTACGTGTCCTACATATGGATTTCCACACTCTCCAAACCTTCTCAGCAACTTCACGCGACAGCCAATATGTAGGTAAACCCAATAATCGTCAATTGTGCGGTTTCGGTTGCAGTCGAATTGCAGTGCTCCAAGCTCATCTGATGGTAGTGCCTTGTCAATTACACCGAAACACATTGACAAACGGGCAATCTTACAAATCAGCCATCGAATCGTCCAATGATCATCCTCTTCTTGACAATACTACTCTATATGTCCTAGCAAACCCTGTTTTTTCTCATTTGAAGAGCAGCCACCCGTCTGTTTGAGGCCGTTGACTCTCCGCAAACGTTGGAGCAAACGCTCTAGAACACCAGCATACGAGGGGTACTGTGCTGCCGTTGGCAATCCTCATTGAAGCAGACAAAAGACACAGACGTCATTCTCACAAGACTCTCTACCACTCGTTCGGTACGGAAGAAAGGCGCCGGCAATGGCGCACCACAGGACAAAGATCGGAGATCGACGGTCAGGATTATTGGACAAGCCTCCTAGTGGGCTGGGTTCTGAGCGGATCTGATGCTCTTCCGCTTCCGTTGCAGCATTACGAGACTCATGCCATTGCAGAACGCGTTCGCATTCGTTTTTCCATGCGGACAGAAATCAGATTCGCTACTTTGGATGTAGGGAGCATTATGTAAAGGTTAGCCTTAATTCGAGGGCGAACACGGCCGATCTCGGGAAGAAATGAGCTATGAATACCGTCTCAAAGTTGACATGACCCGGCCAGCACGCTGTCACGAGAGAAGAGGAAGAGAGAAAAGATTTCATTGGCCAAAGATTCAAGTTTTTGAAGATTAGTTTCAAGGTTGTTTGCGTCGAACGCAGATAGCCCCACCCGAACCATTCACTCACCTCCAGCAAGGAAGTATCGCGCCACCAACACTCAGTTCCCGCTCACTAACACAAGGTTACGCATTCGGCAATGCGCGAGAGACGAAAAGGCGCTGTGCGTCGTGATAACTTGCCTTTTTGATGGTGTGGGCCTGAATAATGAACGCTCGCAAGGATGTCAGCGCGGGACTATCCAGGGTTGACTTTACGCAATTCAGAACACACAGAGTATGGGAGTGGGTCTTGGATGCCGTTGCAGTTTGGTATATTGGTTGGGATGAGTGTGGTGATGGCAGCAGCCGCAGACAATGATGAGAGCGTTGCGCATCTGGAAACCATGACGTTTACATGCAGGGGACAAAGCGATGAGATGCTTGAAAGGCAATACTTCGGTCTTCGGGCGTATGCGAGAACCGCGTCGGATAATGCCTCAATAAGCAACTGCATGCTCCCAACAGTGAAATCGGGGCTTGAGGGATGACCGTGCGTGATGACAATGCCTTACAAAAAATCAGAGGGCAGATAATTTCAGGTCAGAGGAAGTACAGAGGACGTAGAAAGTCACTCTACTGGCACGACACGACCTTGTCTAAATCTTCCGGCGATTTTGAACGGAGTCGTTCTTGAAGAGACGGGCAGTGCACGGGGCCCAGACAGCCGCCGCACATATCCGGGTTATATCCGGAGGTTTGCAAGGGTGCGTTTCCGCGCGCATTATTGATACCACCAGCTGCACCACGGGAGCCTGCTAGATTCTAATCACGTAGCCTTATTCTTCGAACGCGTGTCCCTCTTCAACAATCTTCGATAACAGACTACAATTTTTAGGCCGCGTACTTCTCTCAATGTTGCTTTACGCTAAGTTCGAGAGTTCTCTCGCAGCTGTCCCGACGCATTGGTTAGCGGAGATCGCGGAACCCGTCGTAGTGGTCAGGACGCCGGGGCCACCCGAAGAGTGACGGGGATGTTGGCTATGTGTCTTTCCACGAGGGCAGTCTATTGTCCAGGAGAGTGTGAATTGTGGATTGACTGGGACTGGTGCGTATCCCAATAGTCGGCATTTACACCTGATAGTGGAAGGTTTCCAGGGAGGCGTTCTTTGTTGGGATGCATTGGGTCATGATCAAAACGAGAGCCGATTGCTCGCCGTGGCCGATCCCCTATGTATTTGTGCTATCTTCTATGATTCCCCTCGATTCGAGAGACCGACGTGTCTCTTCAAGGTACTATTACTAAAATGAGTTTACCTTACAGCCTTAATGCACCCTGTTGAGATCTATCCCTACATCGAAAGTGGTGGTGAATTACGTGGTCCTTGGGTGTCAATCTAAAAGCACGAGATTCTAGACATTGATGAGCCTCAATATCCAGGTACGATAAAGGGGAACGTACGGTGGGTCGCGGGGTAGAACATTCGCACGGCATTCTTCCCACGCGTGACGTCGACGGCCATGGACGACGGGGTTTCGTTTAGACACTGCTATCGCATATGCACCTTGAAGGATTTGACGTGGGCTTCGAACTAGATAAAGATGAAGCAAGAGAAGTCACACTTTTCCCCATTGGCCGCTCCGGTGACCTCTTCTCCATGTAACTCGTATACGAGGAAATGGCTCGAATGAGAGATTTCGAGTGGGATCGCGGGATATGCCCAAATAAGAGCGGACACATGTGTGGAAAGATCAAATCCAGAAACGGGCTAATTGATTTGGTCAAAATAAGTTCTTCTACCTGAGATAGAGGAAAAGCTTGGCAATGACGTTTGGTTGAGATGCTTAGCACATGCAGATGCGGCTCCGGTCTCTGGCCTTTTACGGGACGAAGGCTTCTTCGTGTAGAGGTTTGCAAGTGGAGGCAACGTAACTTTGATGGCAAGAAGTCAAGTCCCCACAGAAAAATGTCCTGAACGCTGTGATGTACAAAGACACACACCTGCTAGCTTGCTATAATCTTTGATCTCAGTCAGCCGATATATGGGTATTGAAAACTGCGATAGATTACATGCGTGCCGTGATAGTAACTGTCCTGTCTGAGTCAGTAGGGACATGAGCCGAGCTCGTCTCAGACTCCTTAACAAGTACAGCCTGACAGCTGGCAACATACGACCTGACATATTAGACAGGATATTGCTGGTCAGAGGCTACGCACGGACATTAGCCGCATTTTCTATCAATAGAGTGATTGAGACATTTAGATGAAGGAACGAATGAGAGCTAATAGTCGCATTGGGTTCGCTTTTCTCTCGGAGAAAACCTATAGAAGATATGCTCGAAGCCAAACTTCCTACATCCGGATGTGAAAGGTCTATCTGTCATGATGTGGAAAGAAAACATGCTCCACTTCGATGTAACATGCCAGTCCACCCTAGGCTTTCCAGCCACGGTACACAATCTTGCTTCCGTATAGCTCTCCCTTTTTTAGGACCATCATTGCCTTGTACTCGGGAATGTTGATGGCATTGACGTAACGACTTGGCTCAACGCAGAATCCAGAGCGCGCACCTCGAGCTGGAAGGCCATCGACAGCAGCTACATCGATGTATTTGCCTGTGTAAAACTGGAAAGCTGGCTCTGTGGACGAGATCTCAAGGTGGATTTTGGTGGTCGGGTGAAAGAAAGATGCAATCTTCTGAAGTGGCAATGACCGAGTATCAATGGGAATTGTTGCTGGGTCGGTATTCACGACGAAGCAGTCGTCGATGTCCGGTTCTTTCTCGCCAAGTGTAAATGTTTCGTTTGGATTGACACCAGTGTAATTCTCGATAGGACCGGTGGGAATGCCGCCACTGTCCACTACCTGGTACTTGCTCGTGATCAGGGTAACTTCAGTGCCTGTAATCGTTGGCCCATCACTGATATTGAAGTAACTGTGTTCGGTGAGTCAACATGCACTTCTTTTTTCTTCGAAGGAATGAAAGACTGACCTGTGGTTGGTCATGTTGATTGCGGTTTCCGCGACTTTGTCTCCAACCAACTCGGCTTCGTACTCAATATGCAACACCTCCTTTTCCACTCCATTGTCCTGATCCTTCTCTTGAACGTACCACACCCTGACTTCAACGGTCCCCGGATAGCCTTCTTCCCCATCTTTGCTGAGATACTTGAAGAAAACGGCATCCTTGCCATTCCTCTGCACGCTGGTTGGACCTTTAAATTCCTGCTTTCCCCAGCCCATTACGCCGCCGTGGAGAGAATTTGGTCCATTGTTGACAGGTAATTGGTAGGATTTCCCGTTCAAGTCATTGATTTTCGCATTTGATACTCGGTTGGCAATTCGACCAATGGTCTCGCCGAAGTATGGAGTATTGTATTTTTTGTACTGCTTGCTAGAGGGAAAGCCTTGCACAATGTTTTGGCCACCGACCTTGAACTCCTGGATGATCGCCCCTAGAGGGATGAAGGTGAAGGAGTTGTCTGATGACATAATGTCGGTTCTACGGCCGATAAGCTTCTGGAGTTGAGCTAGCATACCGCAATTGCCTGGCTACGTATGTTCAGAGAATTTTCTGCGGGTGCGGCAAATTCGTCGGCATCGACTAAGAAAAATGCATGACGAACGATTTTTTTGTCTCGGCGCGGGGTTGGTGACAGGCTGTGCGACTCACCTCTCTTCGTCCTCAAGCGGATGGATGCAAGCGGGCTGCAATGGCTTCGATCGTGAGTGTAGTGGTCAAAGGGGAACAGGCTGTCGAGGGAAGACACAACTTCAAGGTATACCGTCGGTACTTTAGAGGAATTGTGAATGAAGGCGTGACCTGTATTAGGCTAATCAATTCAAAGACTAAGGTTAATTGTGCCGGTGGGGTTGTTGGATCCAACGGGTCAGCGCAAACCGACGTGAAGGCACAATGCACCTTCTCACGCACCATAATCTGTTGCAATGGCAAAGCGAAGCAGAGCTTTCAATTAGGCTCGACAT